GAGCTTCTTTTTTTTGAAAGCATAATTAAATTGTTTTACCTTGTTAATAAACATAACAATATTTATTTATTTGAACTACATACTTGGGTAGATAATCCATTGCATTATTTAAATAATGAATACAATGAACTTATATTTAGTTTTAATAGATAATAACTATATAATTATGTTAATAGTAACAAACAATTATTTATTTTATTTTAATAATTTAAGGTTGTAAGCAACTATTTTATAATTTCATTTTTGAATTGAAGTAGTAAATATTTTTTTTTAAATTTAGTTTGATTTTTAAAGTCAACAACATGATACTCAGGATTTCAAAACATTTTAAGAATTGATAAATAGCAACAAAAGATTTACTACAATTTGGATTGTTAATATAGAAATAAATATTATTTAATATTGTGTTATTATTGAAAATTGTATTCAGCATTTTAGATTATATGTATTTTGTAATGTTTTCAAAAAAAAAGATAAATTTAATAACTTTAAAAGTTATTTAAATACAGATTTTTTAGCATGTTTGTTTTGTAAATGTTAACATAATTAAATAAGTGAAAAATATGATAAATAATACCATGTATATCATGGGCGTAACTCAGGAAATTTTTATAGGGGGGCAAAAATTATTTTATGACAATATACCGTATACTAAAAGATACTTGGAGACTAAATATACCTATTAAATTTATTTTACAAAATATCAAGGAGAGCAGTTGTTAGAATTTCCGGGAGAATACAAAATTAAAATTAAAGAAAATAGTGAACCAAGGTTAAATCCTCCGAGGCGAGTTCCAGAGTCCATTAAAGAAGAGCTAAAAAAAACTTTATCTGAAATGTGTGAATTGGAAGTGAAATTTAAGGTAGAGAGACCAATGAGCTGGTCGAGTAACCTTGTTATAGTGGAAAAGCAGGATAAATCTCTGCGTGTTTGTTTAGATCAGGGGTCACCAACTAATTTCTATGGGGGTCCGTTTTGAAACTTACCAAACTTTACGCGGTCCAAACAGTTTCAATGACATAATTTATAAATTTGTGACTATATTTATTTATCTATTCACATTGTATTTTACACACATTAATAAATAGGTATATACATTTTAAAATTTGTATTTATATTTATTTATTTATTTAAATTGAATTTACAAAAAAAAAGATTATGTTTGAAATATTTCATTTTTAATGTGAAAAATTGGTCAAATTCATACGCGTCACTCCGACGACGGCGCGTTTCCCTCGCCGGTTTGGCGCGTATGAACTTAATCAATGTAAAATGAAAACGAGCTCGCGGTCCATAAAAAAAGTGCTCGAGGTCCGTATCCGGACCGCGGTCCGCCAGTTGGTGACCCCTGGTTTAGATCCTGTTGAGCTAAATAATGTAATTATTATTTATTAGGGATCAATTTTTAATCCCAACTCTTGAGGAGCTGAGACTAAATCTTAACAATAAAAAATGGTTTACTTTGTTTGATCTAAAGAATGGCTTTTGGCAAATAAAATTGGATGAGGAATCAAGTAACCTGTGTACTTTTAGTACGCCGTTTGGGTTCTACAGATTTACCAGATTACTTTCTGGACTCTCATGCACCAGAAGAATTTCAAAAAAGAAACATGGAGTGTTTTGGGGATATTAATAATGTGTATATATATTTTGATGATTTACTTATAGTTACTGAGGATAAAAAAACTCATGATGAGGTAGTAATACAGGTCTTAGAGAGGGCAAAAAAGTTCAATATAAAATTTAATCGTGCAAAAGTAAAATATAAACAGCATGAGATCAAGTATGTGGGTATGACATTTATCAATGAGGGAATGAAACCAGATGAGGACAGAGTTATAAGTATTAGGTCTAAAGCCACCTAAATGCAAATTAGAGTTGCAAAGGTTACTAAGAGCATTTAATTACCTGAGACAATTTATACCAAACGTGTCTACATTAATTACTATATTGAGGGACTTATTAAAAAAAAAAGGTGTGTTGGGTATGGAGTGAGGCTCACACTGAGGTATTAAACAAGTTAAAGCAAATAGTTGCAAGTCCTCAAGTGTTAGTTAATTTTGACCCAAACAAAAAAATAACAATATAGTGTGATAGCTCATAAGCAGGTCAATGGTGTTTTCTGTTGCAAGAGAGTAGACCAGTTGCATTCTCTTCGAGGAGTCTGAATGAAGCGAAACAAAAATATGCACAAATTGAGAAATAGATGTTAAGTATTGTGTATGCATGCAGAAAATTTCATAATTATGTGTATGGACATGCAACACAGGTTATGGCAGATCATTCACCATTAGTGGCAATATTTGGAAAAATGTTGATAAAGAAATTTCAGTAAGGTTACAGAAAATGAAAATGAAACTCATTATTTATGATTTACATGTAGAATATTTACCGGGAAAGTTTATGTTCATTGCAGACTTGCTTTCTAGAAATTGCCTTGATGAAGAGGAAAATGAACAAGAGGTAGAGGAGTTGTCCATGCAATAGCTTTATCYAAATTAGTTACTATACATTTCAGTAGACTTTTATTTTAAATTGATTGAATAAAGTATACATCATAATTAATAACAGCTTTAATTTGAATTAATGAACTAATTAAAAATTAAATAAACGAAGAATACAGATTGAATTGTGATGAAAAAGCTAATTTGGAATTTGAAATCTTCAATAGGTATAATGACTTAAAATTCAAGACTGTAAATTGTCTACAATAAAATTTATAATTAGGTAATTATAAGTGGATCTTAGTATGAATTAAAAGTTCCACACAGTATCATCTACATTTCAAAAATTTCAAAAAAAAAGTTAATTCTTTAGATTAAAACTGTATATTAAATAAAATTAATAGCTGAAGTTTAAAAAATTATTGGTCTTCAAAATGTCCAATAAAAATTAGGGTTAAATCGATTTCTTATCTAGTAGTATACAATTCTATATTGTATATTATTCTACAGGTAATCAATAAACTATGTAATAACAAAAGGTACCACTCAGAATATAAAACTGGATTAGGCCATTCTATGTTGACATACCAATTACTAATAAAATTAAATATAATTATTATATTCAGAAGTATATTATAATTATTTTATACCTTTTGTGACCAGAGCGCAAGAATTTATTGTAAGAACCTACCAAAGAATTACAAGTCATGAATAAAAGAAATTTTCCAATTTTCCACTCAGTAAAACAACAAAATTAGAATAATACGTACATACCAATAACTATCTTGAGTTAGTAAACTGTTATACCAAGACAATTGACAAACACGATTAAATATGATAAAGGCGTTTACGAATTGATAAATAATTAAACCATACATACGTAATCTTTAAATAATGATGGTGAACAACAAAAATATATTTTTCTATGATCTAAACAAAAAATATAAAGTAGGTACCTTACCTTCTAAGTGTAAAAACTAAATAGTTAAACATACCAAATTATCGAAATTACGTCTTTTGATAAAAGTTCAAAACAAATGTAAACATTTTMGGACGAAGTTTAAAAACTAGTAGACAAAAATTCGACGCTGTCTATTTTTTTTTCATTTACCAAAGTGACGAAATTTTAAAACATGTCACGGCGCATTTACCATCCGACAATCAAATATCAGATATATGATAAAAATATAACATTGATAAAAAATTTGAATTTTGTTTGTATTTTATTTTAAATTTCGCTATAACAAAAAAAAAAAAGTTAAACAAGTACCTACGACCTAACCATACTTAACATTTATTGCAAATAACCACGGCTTTAGATAGAATAGTTGCACAATGAGTCATTATTTTGTGATCACCAATTGTTCTTATCAGAAATCTGTTAAAAGTTACGTTATAGCGCTATCTAGTGACTAGTTTCTTACATAAACATCATAAAAATATTATATTCTTATTTTGTATTTTCGTGTTCTCAAAAGTACAGTATTAATACAATTATTTACAAATTGTATGGATAATCCGATAATCCATTAAACCTCAAATTCATCAAATTATGAAATGAAAATTACAATGAAAAGGATGCTTTGTCAGCAATCTTAAATATAAATATCAATTCTGTGAAACTATTAAATAATTAATAGTGAACTAATAAAAAACAGCAACAAAATAACTGCTATGAAGACCCATCAATAGATGGTCACAATTCACAAAAGCCTAGTTTTATTTTATTTATTTTTTAAATCTACGCCATTTGTGCGTAGTGTCTACTGTAAAAATTATTTTTCATTCTAAATATATATAAACTCTATTTTACTTTTTTTGGATTTTACTGGTATAGTTCCAATCATCTAATAAGCAAAAAGGACAAAATATTATTAACATAATATAAATTCAATACTAAAAATTTGAATATTTTTCTGTTTTTTTTTTTCAAAACCAAAATTCACACAACCAATAATCAAAACACAGACTAGAGTGAATAGTGATGAGATTTCGTTTAAATAACTAGTAGTGTATGACATAACATAATCATATAATTATTATGTAGAAAGAGCACGAGAGCAGTGAATTGTGATTATACTTAAGCTATTAACTCAATTATATTTATAATTGGACATTCGTCATTCAATAATAATTTAATATTATGGCGGGATATGGGCGTAGGTCGGCCATAGGGCATATATTGTAATTCCAATTAACAACCACCGAGAGCGTTAGTAGTAGGTAGTTCACTTTTTCGAATGTTAGATAAGAACTCTCGTACACCGCGGTCTAACATTACGTATTATAGCCCAATGTGCAACCATTCTATCTAAAGCCGTGCGAATAACAATGGAAGGTTTAAATTCTAAGGTACCCTGTCTAAATATTATTAATATGTAAAATCCATGTAGGTGCATTTAGTTAGCAACTGCTTGTTTGTAAATTTTATTTTCGATTTGTTGATAAGTATAATGTCAATAGATATTTTTCGTTTTTACTCATCTAGTTATATATTTTTATTTAACTAATATATAATAGCCGTTTATACCTGCTTTAGATAAAAAATTTTGAAAATGAATAAAAACGTGATCAGCTATACAGGTTAACTAATTTGCAATTAAGTTTATTTTAAATATTAGGATCTGATATTTGTACCTAATTCTAACACATTATGATTTTACGTATTAAGAATGCTGCAGTAAACTGGAAAAAATCGCTTCAAAACGAAGAATTTATGGATCTGAGTCAACTCTCAAGTTGAACAAAAAAGTAATAATACGTGAGATTACAAATAACAAAATATTGCTTAAGTGTTAAGGAGATAGGTACTTACAAAGTTCTAGTTTGCTGTAGACATATTCACATAGGTACCTACTATAACAGTATAGCTGCTGTATGAGCTTCGAGATGTAGGTAGTACAGTAATAATTTATTAAGTACCTATTCTTGAATAACAAATACTCGATAGTCGGTACTCGCTAGATAGTATCTACATAAGAAGGATATCAGAGCGCAGGGTATTTATTTTCTTTCTATGGTCTAAATACAATATTATATAATAATATTTATAATTAGTCAAAACCAGGGATCGAAACCGGTTTTTCAAAAACCGGTTAAAACCGGTTAGAACCGCGGTTTTTTCATTATTGAACACCGGAACCGGAACCGACACCAAAAGCTTTAAAACACCGGTTAAAAAAACCATAACTGAAACCCGAGGCCTTTAAAAACCCGTTTATAAAACCCAAACCGAAACCATAGAATTGAAAAACCGTTCTTGATCAGTTCTTGAAAAACCGATTAAAATTTAAAATCAATATCGGTTTCTTCAAATTTTATAAAGTTAATTATATTATTTATAATTCTAGTTAAAACGAGTATTTTCATTCGAAGAAAAT